ACCAGGCAGTTTTGATGAAGCAGTCAGTTCCTTTGTTCTTTGTGTTCTCATAACCTGCCTTTGTCGATTTATTTTTCCTTTTTTTAAGGCGTGTGCTACAGTTCCATCTCTTCGATTGCAGCAGACGAATACATTGAGTCAAGCGATGAAGCTTAATAGTTCTAACCAGAATAAGTGGATGGCAAAATGTAACGTGGCTGTTACAAATAATTTGACGGTCTTTTTTCCGCTTTTTTCTGTTGTATTTGTTTGGGTTCTTACTTTCAGGACTGTAAATGAAATTACTATAGAAGTAACAAGCTTTGGGAAATGTGTTGCAGAGGAGTTTCGAGAATCCTTAATTGTGTTGGATTACCGTACACTAACCATCTATTATGCGTATAAAATATGTTTTAATTACATCGAAAGCATTAACTAATGAAATTAAGTGAAGACAACCAGGAAAGATTATGTTTTTTTGTTGTGTAGTTTACAGCAAGAGTGCTTCCTACGCCAAGTATTGAATATCGGACTAACGGATGGATAAAACCAAGTGAGAAGGTAATCAAAAGTTTTATTTCAACTGGTTTCTGTGTAACTTTTTGGTGGTTTACTTGGAAAAGTTTAAGGTTATCACTTACCGAAACGATTTTAAACCATAATACTAACCAGGTTTTTACGTTTATTGTTAAGACCTCATGGACGGTTGGAAAATATCAATACCTAATTCCGGGTGTTTGCCGAAATTGGTATGCGGTGGCATTAATGGGTCCACGAGAAGGAAGATTTAATGAACATCAATTCCGGTGGGATTTTTTAATGCTAATAATATGGACTTATAATATAGGAAGAAATGCATGTTACTTTGACGAGGGTTATCTGAAGATGTATGGATTATTCAAAAAATTTCATTTTCATATCTTGGCTATTCTTTCGCTCTCAGCGGAATATTTCATTGGCTTTGTAAAATATTTATAGTAAATATATGGACATCTTTTTGCAACACTGTCGTCTACATGGTATGGAAATGAGAGACCCACTTAAATATGTGTATATCCCACATGCAAAACAACAGAATGTTGAGCCGTTGATTACGGAAGCTAAAAGTTTAGGCGCGACATTTATTCATTTTGTGACTGCTGATGAGCTGAATTACCATGGTGATTATTTCTAAAGTTTGTTGTTTCTTACAGCTTTAGCAGTTTCGAAAGCACTTTATGAGCAGCCTTTTTTTGTTAGAATTTGTTCCCTGAATTCAAAAAAATAATTCTTTATTCTAAAATTTAGCATTTACGAGTTAGCGTTTCCCTTTTTGTTGATCTTTCATTTCCTTATATACGTTTCATTAAAAATATCGCTTCCTATCTTGAATTTTGTGGGTGGTTATTAGATAACGGTTCTTGATAGGTTTGTTCGGTGACTGATTTGTATGGCTCATAAACATTTTCCAGGGAACGTAATGATTTAATTGTTTTCCATTTTCAACTTTGCTCTTGAATGGGGTTTTAGTTTTCCTTGTCAAAATATCTCGTGATCTTTGTACAGTGGTGGAATTTTTCAGCACATATAAAATATATCGAGTCACAAGAGCAAGTTGTTACGCAGGATTTAAAAGCATCAACTGCATTGTCGGTGACCACACAAAACAAACGTCAAACACTTGATAATATCGTCAATAAAACGAACATTAAACTGGGAGGACTGAATTATTCGGTTCATCTTGAGACTAAGTGATTGCTTTCTTTTTGCTCTTCCTTTTTCGCAATGGTTTTTGGAAATTTTCATTGGAAACAACCTTTCCTATTTTTGAAGCAATGTATGACATTTTAGCTGTGACCGATGGCTGACGAAAACCGGACTTCTCATTGTGGGTCTGGATATTGCGCACCCTTATTTTGCTGTACCTAGAAAGGATCGAAGCTGTGTTCCATCAGTCATTGGTGTAAGTAACAGTCCTTTCAGGTCTTTTTAGGTGAAATTTTTGATTCTCACTTTGCTTTTTCAAGATTGAAAAATACTTGATATTTTAATCACTTCGTTCCTGATTCCTGATATTTAGGAATCACATTTAATCTCAGTAAATCTCAATATTCCCAATAAATTTTCTTAGGCTCAGTAAATCTCAGGAGACGCTTTTATTCCGTTTTCAGTCAGCTCAGTTTGTTATTTATTGTTCATTTATGTCTTTCTTGCGACGTTGATTATGTCTACTCTTTTACCGTGCGCATTTTGATAATTTTGAGATACTATACATATTTTGATAAAAATTTTGATTTGCTGTATATTTTGATAACATTCCTCCACTTTGGGAATATTTAACAATTTCCATCATCATGTTTGATTTAACTGTTATTGTTTTATTTTGCGATTTTGTTTTCTCGTCAATAAATTTTTGCTGTTTTGTAAGATTATATCATGTCGTTTTCCCAGATCGAATAAAAGATC